ACCCCCTTTTTAGGGGAAGATCCGTCAGGGGAGGTCAAGGTTGTCGCACGACAGACCCCCCCTCCCTCACTTTTAACCCCCCCCTACGTGGTTGAGGATTTCATTGATTCTTAACGAGGGAACGCGGAGCTTGACACAGAATGTCGTATGAATAGTAACCCGATTGAATTGAAGACCGAGACATTCGGTCGTGATGGACGTAGCTTATGAGATTCCTGGCATAACTCCTCGGTGGCCCCTAGGTCAACTGTGATTGCGCGCCGGCCCCCACACGTGCGATCGATTATTCGGTTACACCGAAGGGAGAGCAGTTTTTGCCCCCCCCCCCCCACCCCGCCCTGGAACCGTTTCAATTCGAACCAAACAGACTAGCCAAACGTCAACCTGTATTGGGCGATTTGACTCTCGAACCCCTGTCCACCCTATCCTTAAAGATTTTATCTTGTACAATTAATTCGGATTGTTTTGGATATTGTCTAGGTGTCTTTGTAACAGAGTTGGGCAGAACTTTATTCGAATAATACACAGTGAAAGGCAGCAGTATCTAAGGGTGTCATCTTGAGCTTTAAACAGTTAATGAGGTTAAATAATTCTTCGACAAATGTCGATTCATTCATAAAGAAGTATTATTAGGGAATAACGCCGTTGCTCGTGTCGCATTCATCGAGGCATCACTATATCTGGTTAACAAACCCTCGGTGAACTTTTTCGCTAAGGAAAAAGTTGTTTCAAATCACCCCTTTCGAAGATTGACACCTATTTTGAGACGCCCTGTATATCGAGACTTGTCCTAAGTCCATTCAATAGTTCGAAAGTAGCGAGTGTTTCTCATCGAATTCTTACCGAACGATTCTACAGTTACAAGGTTTTTGCACCGTTGATTTGTTCTTCTCCCCTAAAATTTGATTTATTATTATTATTAATAAGTTTATTTTTGTTTTTTTTTTCAGGTTTTATTTGTATGTATTAAATAAGGTTATTTTTATAATTTTATAGAATTCTATAAATTTGATATATTTTGTTTATTTTGAAAGTGTGACGCTATACACTCTTGCTCTGGGTCTCAGATACAGATATCAAAATATTACAACGAAAGTCGGCAGATAATTCAACGAAATATCAGTTTCACGGAAAAGGTAGACTGACCTAGTATTTTAATTCTCCAGTCGATAGCGACAGCCTGTTAATTTATTAATGGGCTGTGGATTCTCCCATCCCTCGAATCCCCCAAATGATCGAGTCATACTTCAATCCAGCAATGACCCCGTTCCATATTTTTGCACATCTTTTATTCCCAGTGTCTCGATGGACCCGCCAATCCGGGATGCTTCTCGTACTCCGGTTTAATTAAATTTTCAGTCAAAACCGTGTGCTCTACTGTCAATTTCCCAAAGAGTATAATTTTCTCATTATTGGGGCGTGTATACAATACAAGGAGAAAGGTCGAAGGTAATAAAATCGGTGCGTAAAACTGCGTTGGTCCATAATTAAGTTCACTGAAGTAGAAAATTCCAGTATAGAACAGTGTCCCTTAGGGTTACAGGCATATACAGGGTGTCCCATTTAAATCGATCCTCACAAATATCTGTGAAATTATTTTTGATACCGCAAAGTGTTTCAAACAAAAGTTGATGTCAGCAGTTTTTTTGTGGGTGTCGGCGTAGAGGACATACGAAGGTCAGCTGTATTTTTTTAATTGGAGTTATATATTTTTCAATGCATCGATCGATGCAGCTCGTCATCCCCTGCGAAAAATTATTAACCTATTTACGTCGAGAAACCATTAATTTAGGAGATATTTTAATTTCAAAATTACATGCCAATTTTCGAATTAAAATATCTCATAAACTAATGGTTTCTCGGTATAAGTAGGTTAATAATTTTTTACATGGCATGACGATCTGCATCGATTTATGCATTGAAAAATATATAGTTCCGTTTCAAAAAATCAAGTTGACCTTCATGTCTCCTCTACGGCTCCACCTACAAAAAAACTAGTGACATCATATTATGCCCCCCTCGATACCATTCAACTTTTGTTCGACACATTTTATGGTGTCACAAATAATTTCAGAGTTATTCGAGGGCATCGATTTAAATGTTACACCCTGTATACGCTAACAAAAGTTTAGACACGTGGGTATAAGGAGGGGGGATAAGGGACAAGGGTTCTGGCCAGGCAACCTTGAGGGTGCACGATCCTAGGGGCGATAGTAAAAAGACGCTCGATTTCGGGCAGTCAACTCTCGACCGTCGCAGACAACGGTCGCTTTAGCGTTGTGATCCTCGCGAAGCCATATTACTTTTCCTAAAAACAGTGTTGTGTGACCTTGTGCAACAGTTTACAATTACTATTCACCATTCTCTACTTTAACTTTGGGTAAGCCATTCAGTGAATGATCGATTTGTTGAATTTTTGGATGTTTGAGATTAATATCTGAATCCCAGATAGCACATGACGCCTTGAAGACGCCCATTTTACAGCTATTTTTAATCAGAGGCGCCTTTAAGCTGTCATTAAGCCGTCTGTGTGCTATTTGGGGTGTATTTATTTATAACAACAAAACAGCTGTTGAAATTGTAAATACATCTATTTTTCTTGACATTTTTATAAAAATAATCACTTATTCTTAAATTATTTATAAAATGCAAAACGTGTAGAAATCCAATAACTGCTACATTCCTGAAATATTTTCAATAAGAACTGTACTTTGTTAATGTTTGCTTAATACGCTGAACTAAAAATATGGGATATTTAAAGTGCAATTACACCCCATTTATAAACATTTAATAATTTTTAAATTTATAATTTACATTTCTATCCCTAATGGTCATTTACTGGTTTACCCTGTTATAACATCCATTCGAATCTCTGTGCAACCTCGTCAGTTTTACAAGTGTTCCAAAATCGATAAATCTTGTTCACCTGTGTGTACAAAATTGAGAATTTTTCCAAGTTCAGTAGACAAAGATTATTAGTTTCCCGTTTGATTAAAGTTTCGAAATGCAAAATTACATTCACGAAGGACTGCAGTGATGTTGATGTTACGGTTTGATGATGTGGAAAAGTGTTGTTTTGAAAGTTTGCAAACCCAACAAGTGTATAACCGGTCTCAGTGCTGCGAGTATTAGTTGAGATTATAGAGGACATTTGGCCGTGTGTATACTACGAACGCTTCGGAACCGGCGGATTCTCCCCCCTCCCACCCCCCTGGTACGTATCGATCGTCACGTCCTCCTTTCACGGGGAGGGAAGTAACTTCTGGCATCCTTAGTCTCAACAAAAATTTGCGACTATGAGGCACTTCGCTAACAAACTGCATTAGCCAAACGGTAATACCCCCGGGAACCCTTTTAGCAACGTGTTACACACACGTTGATTGCTTTTAGCACGCGAGATCCGGAGGTCGAGTCAAATGTGACTCGCCTGACGTAGACACGTGTCTGGTCCAAATAGATCCTATATTGTTGAACGATTAAACAATTCTACGACTTTACGTTCATGCAAGTGCTACCAGACGTTGTAATCAGAGAAATTCTGTAACTAAATGTTCCTCTTATCTCACTAGAAATTAAGGTAAATGTCCCAGTTTCTATTCATGCCCCGATTACTACTCATTTCGTATTTTTCTTGTTAGTATAAATATTACGTTTATACTGTCGTTGTAACGAAGCAATACTAAATTATTGGAACTTAAATTATTAGGATCAAGTGAATTACCGGTATGACCTCACTTCTACTCACCCAAATTTTAGTAAGGTAACCTCATAAATCAGTGTATGTTGTATAAACGCTTCATTTCTATTCTAAAACACTTTATTTTTTATTTATCGTTAGTTTATGTATTAAGAATAATTTTGTTTACATTTTTCATTCTTTTGAAGATAGGAAATAAAAAATCAGGAAAAATGTAGTGAAATAAAAAAATAGAAGAATTACCAGAAATATATTAATCCAGCAATTTTATGTACAATTCCTATTCACCATTCTCTACTTTCACTTAGGGTAAATCAATCATTAAATAACAGAATTGTTGAATTTCTGGACATTTCAGATTAATACTTGTTTATACAAATAATCACTTATTCTATATATATTTAAAAAATAGATTGTATATATATGTATATATATTTCCAAGAAATTATAAAGAGCTTTATTTATTATTATTTTATAAAACCTATCCATAAGAGATATAAGTTATTTTTATCTGAAAAGGCAACATATGTGAGCATAAATTGGTACATTTTACCTTAGTACTTAGAAGTTTCGTATCAGGTAGATCAGGGATTTCAACCAATTCTTGACATTTACCTGTTTCCACTGACATTGTGCTCATTTTACTCCTACGAATTAGTATTTCACGTAACAGATCTCCTAAAAGGTTCAGTAATAATTGCTATTGATCTTTAACATCCTCTAATAATCATTAGACAACAGAGTCCAATTCATTATTGAAGCACTTAGTATTTAGGAATTAGATCTCTTATCAGATTTACCAATAGGTACCCTACTGGTTCATATCATTCACCAACATATGTGACCCTTACCTCAGAATGGATTAACACTTAGGAAGTAGGCCTTTTGGCAGGTTCACTAAGAACCGCTACTGATTACTGACATTCACTGATGTTCACCAGTGGTCAATTTGTAAATAATAACTAGATCCTCTGCCGGGTCCACCAAAGAAGTTGATCAGTGGAGGTTTCCCTCAGAGGGGGTTAGCACTTAGGAACCAGGTCTTTTGGCAGGTTAGGAATCAGGTCTTTTGATAGCTTCACTTAGAATTCCTACTGATTACTGACATTCACTGATGTTCACCAGTGATCAATTTGTAAATCATAACTAGATCCTCTGCCAGATCCACTGAAGAAATCGTCCAGTGGAGGTTTTACCTCAGAAGGGACTAACCATTCAGGAGCTAGGTGTCCTGTTAACCAGCACCATGATACTACTCTACCGATGATTTGCTTTCAGGAAGAGGGCATGACGCACCGAACTCATGCAGTGGCGAAAACACGTGCGCATCAAGTACGGTGGTCGAGTCGGTGTCGGTCAAGGGCAGCGGGAGCGGGAGCAGGTGCAGCTGCAGGTGCGCGTGGTGCAGCTGCAGCGGGAAGGGGGCGCACGACTCAGCTACGTCTGTCATCAGCCTCAACTCTCGTCAACGGCTCGCCGCAGCTGCAGCGCAGCAGCCATGCTCTGCTGCGGCCGCAGAAAAGTGAGTACACTCAATTCCATCGTCGGTTGCATGCTTGTCGCAGCTGCAGTCGGATAGTCCAAATCACAATGCACATCCCATACGTCAGTGGGATCAGGTTCTGAGTTGATAGTACCTACAACCCCCTAAGATTATGGCAATTGCTCATACTTTTATTTGCTATTTCAAGTTAAAATCCCCTGCAGCTGCAACCAGTTTTCCGAGGAGCTTAAGTAACCTAACCCAAACCTGCACTCGGATAGTCCAGCGATGTTCAGATCACAATGAACATCCCATACGTCAGTGGGATCATGTTCTTAGTTGATGGTACCTATAACCCCCTAACATTATGGCATGAGCCAACTGCTCATACTTTTATTTGCTATTCCAAGTTAAAATCCCCTGCAGCTGCAACCAGTTTTCCGAGGAGCTTAAGTAAAGTCTCCACTTTGGGCTGGAATTTGCTATTTATTGCTATTTTATTAAAGTAAAGAAGATTAAGGGCTAAGAGCTTTACGTTCTGACATCTACTGAAATACCTCTTGTTCCAATTCGAGGTTATTTTGTACATTACTGCCATATCAAATGGTACGTTTCAACCGAGCGAAACTTATGCTCAATGAACATGATCGTTAGATGCTATAGTTTAAGCGCCATGGATCCTAGTTGTAAGTGGGTCTATAAACTGTTTACTGTCCAGTGTCCATAAGTTAACAATTGTTTTACGATTCCAAGCCGAGGTAGTTCAACGTCAGTCCTCGTCCACACAGATTAGAGATATCCAAGGCGCTTAAATGGTGAAGCAACAATCGATAGTCGGAGGGACAACGGAATCGATGGTGTGGGTACGCGCGTTTATTTCGTCGATCCGGCATCACCGATAGAATAGAAAATAACGGCAAGCTGCCGGATATTTGTGGGCCGGGGGAGGGTGACAAATATATATGATAAAAGCCGACTGTTCCGCTCCGTATCGCGATATTGATTTACAACAAACCGATACCGTTCAACCTTTTCGATTTCCACCGAGAATCCGTTACTTCGCTCCGACGGTTGGTAGGGATATAAACCCCCCAAAAAAAGAATTTTTGCAAACTGCAAATTTAGTGTTTAAATAAATAAATGTACAAACAAATTTTTAACGATTTTATTAGACAGTTTTATGGAGTGTAAGGAGCCATTTCATTTTAACAGTTTTTTGATATCTGCTATAGTTTTCAAGATATATAGGAAAACAGGATAAGCCGTATTAAAGCAGTGCCGGACCAAGGGGGGCTGCTACCCGGGCCCCACTTTTCAGGGGAGCCCCAGTCTAAGCATTCGATTTATGTAAATAAAAAATTCAATGAAATTTTACTTACTGTTTCCTTTTTGAAATAATTAGAGAGCGAACTAAATATAGAAATAAATCGGAACATAGTTATTGAAATATAACGAAGCATTGTTCGTTATGATCAAATGTTATTTAAGTTCAATTTTTAACCACCTTTAAGAAGGTTACTGCAATAAGGTTTCACCCTGCAGAACCGAATACAGTGGATCTACAAAGTTTTTAAGGAACACTCATCGAGGATTTACTCTATCAGCAAAAATGAAAAATTGTTCGATGCTTCTATAGAGGTTCCCAACAATTGTACAAAGTCTTTATAGGAAACACTCATCTTGGATTTACTGTATAAAAATGAAAAATTGCTCGATACTTCTGTTGAGGTTCTCAACAATTCTACAAAGTTTCTGAAAAATCAGATATTTCGCGATGCCAAAGCTCCCTTGTTGGAGCCTCGCTTTTGGTCACACCACTCGAATCATTCGTGTGAAGGGGGCAGGGAGCAGTACCATAGACTATGAAGTTTCACGCTGGATTAGATAAGGGTTAATGAAACTTTACAGAGAGGACAAAGCTCGCAGATGATAACGCGCGATAAGGAATGACGAAAGTCTCTCTCGAATAGGAATGCTCCTACTACGTGCTGGTGCTTCCAGGCCGTGGCTCCCCGGGGGTTATTTTCACGGAACAATATAAAAAAATGACGCGGAGTCGGGGGGCGGTGCGTAGGCCCGACGACGCCGTTTCTTTCTCCCTCTCCCCCCCACTCCTATTGTCCCATGCTTCCGTTGAACTTGCGCACACGGCTCGTTCTCAAAAGGCGAGTTAGCGATTCCACCACGCTCGTCAGACGTGTCAACGGAGCATAATACAAGGTGTCTCAGCTAACTCGATCACCTCGAATAATGATTTAACGGTATACTTTATGAAAATATTATCATACGATGCAATTATATGTGAGACACCCGGTAGGTTAACGCTAGAAGTACCAGCATTGAATGTATGCTGAGTTAAATTATGTAATATATTAATACGTGTAATGTATAGTGCAATACATATAGCTTAGTATACTATAATATAAAGTGTATTTAGAGGTTAACATAAATTCCGATGAAAGTATCTTTAGGATTTCAATAGTTGTTAAATAAAAATTCCGGAATTTGTTATTTTGACGGTTTTGATAGTTCTAGTGTTAAAGCTAACCTAGAATGTATGTATAATACGAAATTTGGTTTGGTAGCATAATAGTGCAGTGATTGGGTCGTTACGGACCCGGCCATAGGAAATACTATATATATAAACAAATAAAAGGAAGATATAAATAATTGACACGAGATATTGCAAAATTATTGGAGTGTTAAGTGTCACTTATTATTTATTGAATTTTGGTTACTTGTAAATGGAAAAATAGACAGATTTTTGTGCGTAGGAATAGGAAATCTGTACAACGAGGAAGTGGCACTAAAATCGTTGGAAAATCTCACGGGGCGAAATCTTAACATTTCGCTCTTTGTACTCCACCCTGGTATCCAGAAGACCTCACGGTCGCGATGCTTTTGATACTAGCTGAAGGGAGTGTCCCTCTTTGTGCTACTGTAGCACTTTTAACACTCGTGTGAAGGGTGCCTTCCACTCTGTCCCGCAAAGAAGTACAATGTTTACAAGTTCACCATAAAAGTTGTATGAAAAAAAAAGGTTAAAAAATATGTCCAGATAGTTTAATTAATAATTTCATACGAATACTTGACAATTGATTTATTTGTCTTGTGTACTGCCAGACATAATTTGTACAGATCGAAAATTTGACTTTGGAAAGAATCTAAATTGGATTTTGGAAAAAATCCAAACTTGACTTCGGGAAAATCCAAATTTGGCTTTGGAAAATGTCCAAATTTGATTTCGGGAAAATCCAAATTTTATTTTGGAAAAAATCCAAATTTAACTTCGGAAAAAATCCAAATTTGACTTTGGAAAAAGTTCAAAGCCGACCAGATTCAGTATTTCGAGATATATATAATAAAATTATTCCGCGGACATTTAAAAGATATCAAGTGGACGTCCTGCGGAATTAGCAGACGTCATCGCGCGATGTTTCACGAAAAATAAGACACTAATGGCGCTGTAAATGTAGCGCGGAGTCGCCGAACGGTCGGGGCCGAGACGGCGAATAAAACTCCCGACGGGAAGGACGAAGTGGCTTGCAGACAAGTTTATTTAAATTCCACTAATGACGTCATTAAAATAATAAACGATGTCGTTTACGGTGTAGAATGTAAGCCGACCCGTGGTTCGTAACTTTGCCAGACCGGCAGAAATTGTGGGGAAAACTTTTTATTTTTCCCAAGATTATTTCGTCTACGTGTTCAGTTTTCATTTCGCCGAAACATTTCCAATCGAATTCATTCCCGGAATCCACAAATTTTCAATGAAATAAAGAAAAACGCCTCGCGACGTGTTGATTCGAAGGATTTCACGATCGATAAAGAAGAGCTTAGCCTTATCGATTTATAATTGTTAACTTTTTACATAGATGCATATGTATATCTACTATTAAGGAACTCCAACAAACACTATTAATATCCAAAATTTCTTTATTGGTACGTCACAGAAATAATTTACAAAGTAAAAAATTATTTATTTGTTAAAAATACGAATTACGTATCTCCTATTAGGATACTCCAACAAACATTATTAATATCCAAAATTTCTTTATGGATACGTCACAGAAATAATTTACAAAGGAAAACATTATTTATTTGTTAAAAATACTACTTTTGTATGTACTATTAGGATACTCCAACAAACATTATTAATCTCCAAAATTTCTTTATGGTCATGTCGCGGAAATAATTAACAAACGAAAAAATTATTTGTCAAAAATAGAACTTAATAAATCGATCGTACTAATTCGATAAAAAGAACGGATAATTTGCAATCGGTTTCGTCGAAGGTGAAACAAGAATTTTAACTCGGCCCCCGTAAAAGTCACTTCCGGTTCGATATTACCATAAATACGGTGTATGTAGGTTTCCGGAAGCGGGCTTTACGTTCCTTCCGCGTATCACGCGTGTCGGCGCAGACCCCCGGATATTTTGCATGCTTCCGCGAAAAGTCCTGGCGCAGCGTGCACCTCTTCAAGGTACACTCCGGTCGGTGGTTGCATTACCGTGCAATCGGATTCCAACGGGCACGCGAACCGGATGTTTCGTAAGGATGGCCGGCTGGCGCAACCCAAGGGCCTCCGAAAGAAATCGTCGAGAATAATGTAATTCCGGCTGATTAGCAGTCAACGGACTTATCGGTATCTCGACTGAATCCTTTGTAACTTGAATTTTCCATCGGCCCCCAAGGAAGATTGATGTGCCTTCTGGGAAACCATTACAAACTCCATACAATCTAAAGATTGAGGCACCTGAAACAGGCCAGCTGAATATCTTGGCTCGTACTGGTCATTGAAAGAACTGTGTCAGACTATACTTGAAAGAAAAATGGTAAAATGTTAAGCAGGCGTCAGGTTTTATGAAAAAAAATAGTTAAAAAATGTAAACGACGTTTCTCTCCACGCAACAAACTGAATTCGAATGATTCCCGCCATATGCACTGGGTGCGCGGGAATTTTGAAAGTAATTTCTTCGAAAAGGAAGAAAAATCAGTTTCAATTGAAAATTCTCTTTACTGGCCACTTTTTACGACG